ACAGCTGGTTTGGGCTTCTGCAATGTTGGGAATTTGTCCTTAATGGACCCCAAAAATGTCTGTATTATGTAGTAAGTAAATTTCATACTTCAAGGATGGCGATTGAGCCATCTAGTTCTCAGCATTGAGCATTAAAAAGATTTAGAGACTATTAATTTTGAGAAGCTTTTGCATTATTTAAAATAAAAAACACTTTATAAGAAAATATAATCATTGTTCAGATCCTAATTGGTGACTCATCATTTAGGACATTTGTTACTTGCATCTTTAGAAATGTGTTGATCCAATGAAAAATACCCTTGTAGTGGTTGGTAACCATGATTGGTTTTGTCCATTTATGCATTGTCCTTTTTTGTAGAGGGAATTTTGCAAAACAAAGGCAGGTGGTTCCTTGTTTTGACCTAAATGTTGTTAGGCTGACGAGTGAGAAAAATTGCTAGCTCACAATATAAAGGATGACAGTCAGCTAATGCAATCACAGGTAACTGGAAGGAAGACTAGATAATTCAGAAAATGTACGGCTACAATTTCTTTCGGAGAGTTTCTGTATCTCAGCATGTGATGTAACATCCACATAGGGTGGACTTTCATTGTGATGACATCATCTTGGCTGCTTTGTTCTTTGGTGGAAAGGGGAAAGATGCCAGATGGATGCTTTCAGCTCAGTGATCCCTGCATTACTTGAGATATTGAGATATATATATATATATTAATGTAAAGGATTGGGCAGCATCCTGACCATTCAGGAGTCCATGAAATGCTTTAATCCAAAGAGCTGCCTAGCTTGACCAGAGCCCAAGTGTGTCCAAATGAAATGTAAACTCTAAATAGGATTTATACTGCATTAGCATATCTCGACTATCCATTGTTTATTAGAATATTTTTGCAAAATTAGAAAATTCTCTCTAAAAATGTCCTTCCTCCTGGTGTCTGGCCTAAACCTTCTTTGGTGAAGTGCTCGCTCCATAGTTCTGCTCCTGCCCTGCTCTCTCTCCTGTGGAACAAGCCTTCGCCTATTTCATGTGGCTATAAAAAGTCACAAATGCTGCACTGTTGGAAGCTTTAATCCTGTTGCTCTTCCATTCTGCCCCTAGGTTGCTCTCTGTCTCCTTTGGCAAAGCAAGAAACCTCCAGTTGTTGGATTATGTCATACGCACCTGCCCTGCAGGTGAGGTTCTGGCTCCTGAGGTTTCGCCATAAAGGAAGCGCTCTTTGGGGACATCCGATGCAGTCTGGCATCTTTCCGTTTGATTATAAAATGCCAGCAATATCTTTGCCTATTGTCGAGTTATGAAGTTCATGGTTGAGTCATATTTGGGCTTCAATATCCTTTTATTCATAACTCTGGACAAAAAATCTGTGTCTGGGTTATAATCCCTTTATCTGCACCAAGTGTACAGCAAGAAGTTATTCATTAAGTATTGTTTATAAATAGTGTTGTTTACGAGAAAGCTTGTCCTTTTAAAAAGAACAATGAACCCAGGAAAAATAATTTAAACATTAATTGGCCAAAGAACAAGGACATTTCTTAGTATCATACACAAATATTGATGACTGAATCATATTTAACCCTTTAACCCTGGGAGATATTGGATATTTTATTGTGCGGTCACCCCACCCTGAATCCCTCTGGGGACGAGTAATGAAGCTTGTCCTGTTTGAGCCTTTTCAGGCGGATTCCTTACAGCCCTGTTGCTATAGCAATGGACGTGTGACAGTGGTTCTTTCTGCAGCCCTCATCATGGGTGTTGGTATGCAGAACACACAACAAGCAGGGAAAAGAGTGTAATCTCTAGCATAAATCCTCCTCCTCCTCCTGTATTAATGTCAGCGGTTACTGTCCCCCCCCCCCCCCCCCCCCCCCCCCCCCCCCCCCC